CTGCAAGGACAACATTACGTCCATCTGCAAGGACAACATTATGTCCTCCTGCAAGGACAACCTTTTATGTCCTTCGGAGAGTGATTCTAGACATTTAGGCTGCCTCTAGCCGGCGAACTACTCCAAGCAGGATCCATGTTCTTGTGTTTCGATTGATATCAAGATATCCACAAAGACCTCTTCTGGTTTGTAGATCCATACGAGTCCCACTCATCAACCATAAAAAGTTGAATGTTCAAGTGTGAGGCGTTTACAAGATATGAAATACCTAGTATGAATCGCCTGTGTTAGCTGCAGGAAAAAAAGCAAGGCGCATCAATAGACAGAAATACTCTTCACCATAAGCCCAATAATGCATAAACCGCTACCCACATCGTTTTGTAACATAGCCTTGGCGTGCTGAGAAGAAGCAGTAGAGGACCTTGAATAACGCTGTATATAATACATACTACTTCACGCCAATTATCAGCTACCATAATCGTGCATTATTCAACCAAGCAAAAGTAGACACCGACAAAAGCATGTGCTATTACACCGTCTCTAAGAAGATATGTAGTGTTTGTCAGATCCTCGTTACTTCCGAACCTTCTCCCACATCCTGTAGCCTTGTCTCGAGACATGAGGATATAAAGCATTGTCCAAACCTGGACAAAGCTGCACCGAAAATGACAACGACGCTCGAGGACTGCGAAAAGTGTCGCCATATTGCGGGCGAGCAGAAGCGTCAGTTTCACTCGGAGACAAAAGAAAGGCTTCCCAAAATCGTCATAATAGCAACGGGAGGAACGATTATCGCAAAAGGTGTTTCCCCCACGGAAACTACCAATTATGATATCGGCGCTTTTGGCGTCGAAGATGTCATCGGGGGCATTCGAAGTTTCTGGAATGGGAAGGCCAAAATTGTCACCAGGACACCATTCACTCTGGATAGTACCAATCTGGACCTTAGGTATAAAATATGTCTCTATCACGAACCCATGGAAGCGATGGCCGACGAAGAGATCGTGGGGTCCTTAGTCCTGTTTAGAACAGACGAAATGTCCGCTACAGCTAATTTTGAGGATACCGTCATACCGGACGGCCCACGTAAACGAATTGCGTTCACAGGAGCTACAATGCTGCATACTGCACTAAGCTCCGATGGCCGTGGAAATGTCGTTGCTGCCGTCAATACATTGTTGGATCCGAGTTGGACGGGAGTTGTCATGGTCATGAATGACATGATCACGCGCCCTCAAGAAACCAAAAAGGTGCGCAATCGTTTCGAGCCTGGGCCAGGCACATATCTGGGCCAGATCACAAACTTCGAGCCAAGGCTTGGGCATACTGAGCGTCTCAATTTACCAGAGCGTATAGATATCAGTTCATTATCGCACGAAGATCTAGAGGCGGGGTTTCCAGGAGCTGCAATAGTCCCAGTCACCGTTGACTGCAATGCAAGTCAATGGATAGCTGCCATCGTCTCCACTGGAGCGAAGATCATAGTCATAAAAGCATACAGCACTGGATGGTTGCTAAATGACTCAAGGGAGAAGATCGCGAAATTTGCAAGCCGCGAAGATCTGGTGGTAGTAGTAACAAGCAGGCATGGTTCGGCAACTGTGGAAACAACAGGTGTGGAAGGCTTCATTTCAGGAGGTGACTGGATGCTAGATCAGCTCTTGCCCATATTACAGCTTTTGGTGAAGCTTGGATATACAAAAGAAGGAATACGGAACAAAATAACTGCTATATGGAGGCCATTGTAGGCTAGATAGTCCAAATACATCATCGTTCACGTGTCACATAACAGAAGCACTTTATGCTTACATCACGATTAGATTGCATTTATATCTAGGCGATCCGCTACTATCAAAGCTTCCGACGAAGATCTGCCATAAAAGTTGACCCAACGCCCTTCAGCTTTGGGCAATGGCTTGAAGCAGCATTGCCGCCAGCGCCTGTTCCTCATAATCACCTTCGCGGACTGCATTGCTTTCTTCAAGAGTCACTGAACCATGTCCTCCCCTCTGGTCCAGCGAGACACTCGACTTCGCAAGCTCTTGATGTGAGCCTGTCTGCGAACCTGCTGGCCCAGCCTCAGAATCATGCTGAAATTGGCTCACCCACGAGTTATTCTCTCCCGGTTGTGATGCCAGTGACGATCCAACATAAACAGGGTTAAATAAGTCTTCTAAGTAGTCTCTAAGCCTGGACATTTCATGGCGTTGCTGCGGATTGTTGTATTCCGCGTTTCAGCTGGTCCAAGTTCTTGACCCAGGTATCCTTTAGAATATGTCCTCCTGATTTCCGAATCTGATTAAGGACATCTTTATTCTTTTTATACATTTTTTTTATCGATAATGTATAAATCCACATCCTGGCCACGCTTAGCACGGCGCTCGGGAACGAGGCCAAGCTTGCATAAGATGTCTGATATATAATCTTGTTTTCTGAAAAATGTACCTGAGGGCGAACACAGCGCCTCTCCACTTCTCAGGTGTTCGATCACTGGTGATCTGTCTGGATACTTCCTGCCCTACCGTTGTGGGTTGGGAGTAGGCATAAGGTAGTATAGGCAAAAGAGAATAAGAGAAAGCTAAATACTTATATAGTAATATTAAACATAATACTATATTAAAATTTGATTCTTACTTTAATTTTATGTTATCTTAAGTCATAGTTATATTTAAAATAAACTAATTGATACATTATTTTAAGTATAGAAATAATAAATAAATAATGAATTAACTTAAAACCTCAAGGTGCATCAATAATTTACTTTACATTTACTTTACAGGATGCTAGGAGCTCTCCCAATCTGATGCTACTGAGTACATACTCCCCTCCGAGGAGCGATGTGTTAGACTTTGCATTTCAATGTCGCCGGATGCCTTGGTCTTCACTACTCTAATCCTGCTGCCAGCTTTCTGGGGCCCGTTGATCTCCCGAGTAGAGCGTGGACAATATTCTGCTTCAATATAGTCTATGCCAAGGCTGTCATGACAATTAACTACACCGTCGCGAAAGGTTTGCATAAATTGAGCGTCTCCACATGCTTTCATATCTTAGTATTGATATTATATGGCAAGCTGAGACTTCACTTACTGACAATTGCCATGCCTCCTCGCCCTCGTTAAAATTTGGGTCTTTTCTCTCAGCAAAGCTATAGGAAGGCGCCCCCAGCCGCCACCGTGCCCCGCAACCGCCGAGCAGGCGGCTATCGAATGTACCTGCATATTGATCGGCACTAAGAAATTTATTTTGGGAAACAGGCGGCTAAGTTTATTATTTAGTAAAAATTTAATAACATTGAATCCCCCTCAATCTGGTTGCAAACACAATCCTTCTTTGCTCCTTTTTGAGATCAAGCATCGACAATCTTTTGGAGTTCTAAAAATGCTTCGACAACGTTCCCCACAGAACAGAAATGATCAGTGAGGAATGAAGTACAGAGGCCGTGGTCTTTGTAAAAAAGCAAACGACTATCACCAATTATTTAGCGACGATATCCTGGTGGTATTGAAAGCCCCAAAAAATGGCTATGAGATCGGCTTCCAGTCAAAACCCGGACTTTTCGAGGCATTCTGTAGTGCTTCTGTACCAGAGCATGTTTTACGAAGCCCGGAGAACTTCAAGACAAGTCCATTAAAGAAGACGCGCACTGAGCTCTCAGCTCTCTCCAGTAATGATTGCTCAACAATTGGAACAACGTCATCATGCAGCAACTTGTCGGTGCAGGAGTCTAGTTCGCCCGAATCTCCCGAAACCCCAAAACCCAATAAGCTAGCGTCAGCCTTGGCTCGACCGCTGGCAATCACATTGCGAGGCAGGACTTCACATACCGGACAACGCCAAGTGGGCAAACTGCCACGAGGCCTGAGAACTAAGCATTCCGAAGCCAAATTGGCCGCTCTAATAGAAGCATGCTTAATTAAAGAAGTGTCTTCGGCTAGGAGAATTCTAGATGGAGTAGGATATATATACAGTCTTTTATACTTGTACCTAATTCGAGCATTGCGAGCATAATTAATCATCACATCTTGGGTAGTCTAAATACTATTCAGTGCCTCTCTTAGTTCCTGCTCTGCTTGTGCAACCTTTGTCCATGTTTCGCTCTCAATCTTTCTATCTCTCCCTCCAAAGACATGGTCCATCTCCTGGTCCCGAATGAGCTGTTCGATCTTGTAAGGGCAATTGCTGACCCAATGCTTTCTCCCATCTAATCCATCGGTTGAGATATAAACTTCGGACTCCATGGAAGCGATATGGACAATGACTATCCTTAGAAAGGGGCGATGCCGTTCACATTCCCAGAATATAGCTTCAGTGCAGAGTTCCTCGCTAATCTCGTTGGCTTTGGAGTCTCGCCAGTAGAGTGATGTATCCTCTCTGCGGAGGCGGCAGAGTAATTAGACTAGCGGCTGGCCAGGGGGAACACGACACTGGAGCATGACAGCACAATACTGAGACGGACTGGTTGCATCGGGCATGGCGTCAAGCTCGATGTAGAATAGACTAGCAAGTAGTTGGCTTGCGTTCGTTGTTAGAATGCTATTGCTATATATGCCACCCTGGTATTGGACAAGCACATCTGGCTTGTGTCTAGAATCCGAGTCAGTTATGTATTATCCTAGTGCGATATATTCTTCAACGCACACTTCGACAGATTTACTTTGTCTGTTTGACCATGCTTCTTTCCCAGTATCAATGACAATGGTGGTCCCATTATTGCGCTGTATCTCCTCAAATTTCCATGCAAGCTTATTACAGAATACGGCCTCATCACGACGAATCTTCTTGGGGCGCATTCGACTCAAGTGATACTTGCAGTCATAGAGACTCCAGCCTTCTAGAAATATAGCAAAAGCGAAGAATATCCCTGTCCACGGATTAACAAGTGTACAATCAAAAGTCGATTTGTCATAACATGCCTATACCACAAGCTCTGACTTCATCAAACAATCCCCGTAAGTCGACCAACTTTAAGCCAACAACACGTTCCAGATCCTTGAGAAATTGCCACGTGCTCTCTGCATCATCTCCGTCGAGCATAAGTACTCGATCACCAGCTGTTGAAGGCTGAAAGGCGAGGACAAGATCCTGCAGATCTTGGCATAGTGGACACTGCCCAAACCGGAATGCCAGCGGCTGACTTCTTTTCCAATCGCGACGATGCATAAGCCACAGAGCCTGTGCTGGCAATCCAGCGTGTGGGTGGGAGCCTGTACAATACAGAGATCGCACTACCCAGGGCCACCCAGCTGATATTCTCTTACCCTGTCCTCATGAATTCGGGCTGAGTCGAGGCGATGTCTTAGACTGTGCGTCGCTGCTTTGACAAAGTGGTATTTCACTGATTCCACCAGACCATATAGCTTTAATGACTCAATATTACCTCTTTATAAAGTTGATCGAAGACGGGGCCGGGGGGAAAGTCTGCACTTGTCAGCTACAGGATTGTTCCAAAGGCATTGACCTACTGTGCATGCCCGGAGGGTAAGCATCCATCACCAATGCCGACGCCAGGATACTATCAAACTTGTCTGCATCTCTAGAGCGCCTCAGAAATGAGGTAATACTTCCTTCAATTCGATATGGCAAAGTATACTGAATTTTCGAAGCTGAAATAGCATCGAATACCATTGATGGCTCAAGGGCGAATTGTTGAATTGCTGACTGCATCAGATTCTGGAGATGTTGTGCGGAGAAACTCCGTCCACTGTATTTGCGATACAGTCGCTGGTTATTGTGCTTCCCCCACACATACTCCATTCCATCTTGAAACGTTGAGTTTGAGAGCCTAAAGCATCTCGTCACCATATCTTTGATTTGGCTAGCAGAGAAGCAGCAGCTAGTGGGGTTGAGCCCCTAGAGATATGGTGCCAACGATGCTATGAGTTGGAAACTCACGTCACCATCAGGAGGAAGTCTCGCCTCATAAAGTAGTATTATGCGTGTTGAGGTTGGAAAACCTTGAGTCATTGCACGCTCTAGCCATGCACACAGGAATTCGATCACTTGCGAGACGCCTCCGAAATCTGGAACAAAGAGGAGGACCATTCCGCTAAAATATGACAGCAAGTTACTGTACAAGGCACAAGCTATATCTCGAGTTTGACGTGCTGCAAAGGTAAGCAAAGCTCGGCTCTCCTCCCAGGAAACCCCAGCTTTCAGGCGGGGCAGGGGTTGGTCAGCCTGAAGATGCAGCTCGCAGTCCAGTAAAAATACATCGTCTTACAAACAAGCAAAGGCGATGGAATGCTCGTTTTCCTCATACTTAATTGCAAGATGGGCAGTGGTGGGCAAGGCCCAGTACGTAGCATGTTGATTAGAAGGCGGGAAACCCTACAGAAAACTCGCCCTACTTTTTGGTTCGCCACGTTTGAATGTCCCTTCCCTGTTAACGAACGAGTGTCCCAAGATAAGACGATGGACGCTTTAAGGGCGCGTGTAGGATGCATGGCGTGAGGTCTGCCTGTATCGGCTACGTACAGTAATGAAATCAGGCTGTCGGACTCAAGTAGAAACATCGCAATGATTGGCTAAGATGACACAAGCTGAAAACAGGGATCTCGCATGTGGAGGTGGCGTGTATGTATTGGGCGTAAACAGTCCGTTGCAAAAGTCCCATCCTACCGTTTTGAAAAACAATCATGTGATAAAACGGTATGATGCTTACCTACTTAACTTAATGCCTCCGATCCACGAGCCGATGCTGCTATCTGTCCTTGATTTTCAAAATGAATTATTACAGCTGAAATAGCTTAGATATTGGGTTTCAAATCTTCAAAATGCTTGCATCTATTTAATCTATGTTTTGAGTATTTTGTTCGCTATTTTAGTCAAGCTTGGGCACTTTTGTGCTTCTTCAAGTTCATCGTCTCTGTTAGCAATGGAAATTCACTGTTTGATTGGTCGGTTTTGTGTTCATTTGCATGCGAGATCGGTAACCTAGAGCTCCAATTTCGGAGGCATGGGTTGCAGAGATGGGATGTCTTTGAACACAACACAAGAATACTACGGAAGATGAGGTAGGGCAATCGGGTTGTCCGAGTGATTCAAATTGGCAGGTACGTACCTCTAGGCTTCGGATTTGTTCCCAAACCTGCACCAGGAACAATTCCTCCCTGCTAGCAACAGCAACAGCAACAGCACTGCCCCGCAGGCTGTAGCAGATCATCGCCCTTGATATCTCGCGGTGAGTTACCCAGCGGGTTCCCGCCCTCATTTTCGGACGTCAGCTGTCAGTCTCACAAATACAATCACAGCACCACAGCTAGTAGTCACAAATAACACATACGCGCGCCAAGCTCACAAGCAATCATAAACGACACGCCCAAACAAGCGCAGCTCACAGCCAAGCGTAATCAACACGCAGCATATCCAGCGGTACAGTCACAGCAAGCTCACGAGCAAGCACACATAAACAACACACAAGCGCAACACCAGAATCACAGCAAGCCTGGCTCACGAATTATCACAGGCAACAGCACGGCCCCAGTCATAGGGTAGTCAGTCCAACGACAGAGATGACATCTCCCAACCATAGAAACCCCTGCGACATCCACGCACGTACACGCACCACCGCTCTGCAGAGTCGGCTCCTATCAGCAACCTCCACTCCCTCCGCAGCATTGCCATGCCCACGACCTAGCGCGGCGGCGTTGGACGAGGCTGTACGTAAGGCACCGGCGCCACCTCACCCTGCACAGACGCTGACGATGACAGCAGGAGCAGCAGCACCCAGGCGAGCTAGCTGCATCTCCCGGACGTGACGTATATGTACGGCATTGAATCAGGCAACTCACCCGGCGCCGCGTCCCAGCCGCATCCGTGGTCAGAGGCGTCTCGAGCTGCGGTGCCGGACCAGTCACCCGAGCCCAACCTCTGACGCGGATCCACCAGATTGAGCGCCGACAGCTGCGCAAAACGGACGAGACGTATATATACAGTATCGAACGAGACTGCGTACCAGACTCTGCCCTGGCAACCACACAGGGCCAGCGGTGGCCTTTCCAGTATTCATCACCTTGGCTACTATTGACGTTGATCACGATGCAAGGTACACGGCCTTCGATCACCCGGACCCAACCTCTGACGCAGACCCAGCTGAGCGAGCGCCGACAGCGCGCCGATATGGTGCTGCGATCCTTGAGAAGATCCTTAGATGCGCAGAAGAACAAAGAGACCTGCACGGTATTACTACAGTATGTAGTATAGCGTCCCACGCCCACGCCCTCATCTCCCGAAGGACATTGTGCACACGCCAGTTCATCGATGCTATCTGATACGGATGTCGTAGACGCTTGGAACCTGCACTTCAAGACGCCAGTGATGCATAAGGTACATCATCATTCAATTGGGTCTAGAACTCGTTCCTCAACCGGGTCTTCTAGGGTTTATGTGACCACAGAGCGGGTTGCGCAGGCCACAAACGGATCCCCATTCACGACCTAACCTCAGCCAGGTATGAACTTTACAAGATAACAGACCGTGCCCAAGGATCAGGCTCAGCTCAACGCGACAATCGATCACTAGATTCCCGCCCAGATACAAAATTCTGCCACTGCAGCTCATGCTGTTCCTTAGCAACAGACAGGCATAAGCTCAACGCGAACGAAAGCAGCTCAGATATCATGACAAAGACACAAAAGGCCCCACCCCGTAACTCTATCTATAACTAACGACAACCGCCTTTATTGACCTCACAGCCCTTTACCTGCTCACTTAGCATATCAGGGCCGTCTCATGTCCAACACAATAACATGTAAATGTAACCAGCAGATCAAAATGCTACCCGACACAGGATGGATGATGAGGTGCCTTTGGGATCCATCGACAATGGCCGTCTGTCTGCAAAGAGAGCCTCAAGTGTAAAGGATTCCAGGTCTCCCCGAGCTGCAGCTCCCAAGAGCTTCAAGGATCATGAAAGTTCTTTGGTCCTCCCCGGCCCCAAAAATAGAGGTATTCCTACGGCAAACCCTTTCTCCTCTCGCCTGGAACATTCTGAGCAGCAGGTTTAACTGCTACTGGGCAACCATTCCATGCTCTCTTGGTAGTGAAGCTCTATTGCTCCTATTCACACATATTCCCCATACCTGAGAACGAACGACCGGCATATCATCACGATCAAATCCGGTTCCAGCATATCTAGCAACATTCAAGCACAAGCTTCTTCCATAATTAGCTGATATTAACATGAAGTTCTGAAGGTATTTCCAACAAGGATCTTGAGTGTATGCTCAAGAGAAAGAGGAAGAGGCCAAGGACAGTGACTTCTGGCAAGCTTGGACACAGGGCGCGATAGAAGTGGCCAGGTGCGCTGCATGAAACCTGTGACGAGCCAAAACATGTTTAGCTCTCTGATTCATTAACTAGCTAGCAGACATCGCTCCTTCACAATATCACTAGCCATGGTTGAGGCGTAGGTTCCATGTTTAAGATCGCTAAATACAAGCCACTTCAATGCCATTTTTATACCTATTTCGACACATTCTTCAGATTCCAACAGACAACAAAGATCACCGTAATGTTCTCACAATGGTAGGATCTCGCGACTTAACTCAGCTTGCGATGATGTTACAAAAACATAGGCTGAAAGCCTTCTGCATGCTTCGGCTCTTCAAAGAAGGTCTGCAATTAGACGCGAAAACCTGGAGAAGTTTGAGTGTGTGGGCAACTGGATGCGTGAGGGTATCATTGTGCCCAAGTCTCACGGTGGCAGGGGCGTTGTTTCGAGCGTTGCTGTTGAACTTGGCGTTGAAACAGAGACAGAGGACTTCCTGGATTAGGGAGAAGTCGGCACTGTTCAACGTCGCGAACTCGATTTTGGCTTCAATATGCACCTGCAACAATCTGGGGAATGCCTTCAGGGTATATGACCTCCCCCCAGATGCCGAAACCATCAGGGAAGGAGGTCCTGTGTGGAGGCTGCTCGTTGTCGACGGCTCCTTTGCCTTTCGAGAACACTGTATGAAACTCAATATCCTCGTTGACTTCTTGCTGCTGCACTTAAGGCATATCTTACAGCCTATGGATGTAGGCGTGTTTCAATATCTGAAGAATGCACATCAGAGGAAGCTTCGCGAGGCGTTGAGGAAGGGAAAGCTGACCCTTAACCGCCGTGGTTTTGCAGGAGCTCTTCAGGTAGGAGGCTCACAGCTTGACCTTCTCTCAAGAGCCCCTCATTTCACAATGTCTGAGCCGCCCAGTCGAGTCCAGGCGAGACATCGATGGGGCTGTCCACGACTGCCGGGCTATTCTGCAGGAGGGCTGCACGGGCTCTTCGGCTCAGATTAGCTCGAGTTCTATCTCCATCTGGCAAGACCAAAGATAAGTGGATAACCCAAGCCATCACATTTCAAGACGTCATCAATTGAGTCTGCCGAAAATTAACACGTACCTACGGGCGCAAAACGGCACACCAGGATGTCCCACACAATTAATCCGCTCTGTCGATGAGGCGCCGACAAATTGGGCGATGGCAATCTCTGTTGTGACCCACCTGAGCGCTTGCATCTGGATTCCGATCGAACCACGGCTGCCTTGGTTTGTGGCTTGACCGCGTCTAGGCCTGGGCGGACCTCGTGTCTGAGCTATGAACGAGATTAAGGGGAAATAGAAATACTTGAGGATGCACCTCCTACCATACTCTTGTTTACTGGCGTCTTTTCTTCTTTTCTTTTTTTCTTGTGCTTCTTTACTTCTTTGGTAAAGTTTATACACTGACTGCGATACCGCGACCATGGTCTTTCACTGTGGAGTGTGGGGATATCGATATAAGGAAGTATACTATTTGTTCGATAAGGAATGGTAAGGCCATGGTTTTCTTTTCATTCTTTCGTCCTCACGATCAGATCGTTCGTATTCTTTCTACGCTTTGGCTGTTTGCTGGTTGACTGACGCCGACTTTCTGTTGATAGCGACGAAGAAGAGCTGCCCCGATTGATTGCCGATAAGATTCCGCAAGATTCGCCAACTTACGACAACTGGCTGAAGCAGAAGCGCAAAGAGTGTGAGAAGCTGGAACAACTCCGAAAGGATGCATTACTCGTCTCCTTGGAGCCTCTCGAATGCGCAGTGTCTCCCGAGAACTTGGAGAATCATGCATTTCCTGGGTTTGAGAGGCTATACTCGATGCCCAGTCATACGAGCCCCCGACTCGGTTTTGAAGTGCTCATTAGCGTTTTCATTGACCTTGATCATCAAACCCTCGTGGTTGAAAAACTTGGAGGTTCGTGGTCTTTCCCTCTCAGACCATTGCCACAAGAACTTGGTAACCTACAACCGACAATGCGTAGCGAGGAGCCACCCGTCGGTGATGAGGACGAGGGAACAGTCGCTTCGGGTGAGGGGTTGGTATTGTGCATGTTTGAGGTACTGCGTATTGTAAGCCAGGCTTACAATCTGGTTATTGCACAAGCTTGCAATGCTAGCTGCGAAAAAGACTTTTTGTTCCGCCAGGTGGGCTATATGGTGCTCAGCATTGCCTCCTGCGATCGTAAGAATGTCAATCTCGTTGATGCTGAGCAACTCAAATTGCCGTATACGGCAGTCGATCGCATGGATAAGCTCACGAGGATGGCGTACGGCATACTGGAAGGCGATGGCAGCCAACAGCCACGGGAACTTGTACCGACTCTCCTCAGTGGCTATCACGATGGTAGAAAACCCCCTGGAAGTGCTCCCTCTACGACATCGTACTGGATGGGATCTGTCTTTGTTTATTTGACTGCCACGAAGTTATCCAAATTAACGGGATCAAATGTCGATAAGATCGTCAAAGAGGCCGTAGCCAAGGGTCGAGAAGTCAAACCTGAGTTCCGAATGATCGTGTTCTCCATCTGGGAATTCATCCTGGTCGAAGTAACGCCCAAGACGGTCGCTCCTCCACAATGCTATACGCTGTGGACATCACGTCTCGCGAGTCCAGTCGATGGCAACGGTGAACAGGAATTCAGAATGTTCTCGTTCAAACCTCATCGCAATTTTGAGAAGCTCGCATGCTTCTTTCTTCACAAAGACCGGTCCGACGACCTCACAGGGTTTGGGATAAGCCGGAAGCTTAGGGTCGTAAGTCAGGATAACGGTGCTCTCTCTTCGTTGCCGTTACCTGACAAAGAGGGTCTCCTGAGCGAATGGAATCTTGAAGAGGGCCAGAGTGACTCCCGGAATCACGGCCTCGGGACGTCAAAACGCAGAAAGACTGATACAGTCCAACACATTCCGATCATCCTGCCAATCAATAAAGAGCGGCCGCCAAGCATGCTCTCCGTGCTGGTACCGTGGGAGGTTTGTAGAGGTTCCCCGCCAGCGGAAGAAAACGAGAAGAAACGAGCCAAAACGCAACTTTGGAACAAGCACTACTGTGGACGACTGAGGGAAATGCTCAAATACGAGCTCAAGTCAAAAAAGTCGAAGGAATCTCGCATCAGAGAAAGCCTCGAGACATTTCTCGTTAAATACGACAAATATGGCGTCACCTTACATGCGAAGGCTGTTGCCATGTTGCATGCCCATTTACTCTACATCCCCTATGGTATAGGAGGCTCCAAGGACAATCAGTCCTATGCTGAGAACGTAGATACCACGTATCCGTATCACATACTGGAGATCTCAATCGGCGCGCATCTCATAGTAGCCTCTCGACATGAGCTGATGTACTTCATAGCCCATTTCCAGCCAGCCTCCGAAGATACGGCTGAGGGATGGGAGCGAGCAGAGTTGGAAGCGAGGAGGCTGGCCAAGAAGGAGTATCTGCGTAATGCCTACTTGTGCTGGACCAAGAACGAGAAAACGTGAGTGTGCATGTCTTCTCAAAGACGCATGGACTTTTTGTGAAACTTGGAGGCTAACCGCTTGACCGTGGGGTTTAGGGATGAACAACGCATTGCCATACTCGTTGTGATTGGAACAAAGTTCAAAGTTCTCTGTGTGGACAAACAGCCGAAGCTCCCAGCGAGGACTGAGAAGCCCCCAGAAAGTGAAGTCAACGAAAGTTGGTATTACGACCCGTGGAAATCCTGCTCAAACATGCAAACTGATCTCTGTCGTGCCTGGACTGAGCTAACGTTTGGCTATGTCAATGGGAGAGAACAGCCCTATGACCTAAAGGATGCCAAAGATGAAGGTGCTATCATCAAGGCCATGGAATGGGTGGTTGAGCAAGCAGAGTCGTGCGATCCCACGGGTTGGGAAGGAATTACGAAGCAAGGCGCCAATTTCCCTTATCGAATAGAAGCCGCAGGATGATACTTGAGTGTCTAACGCCCTATTAATTGATGATTCCATCCGTACTTCTCTGCAATTCGGAGAAGCGTGTTTGTAGGTGCTCGAGAAAGCCGTGTTGGCAAGCATATTCTCCAAAGACGAACTGTGTTAGATGGCAGTAGCTTGAAAGAGAATGGATAAGTCGTGGCAGCATAGACCGCTGGTGGGTGAAAGCAACTTGCGTCTAGTAGCACAACTCGAATCAGGACGGCTCGGCTTTACCTAGCTAAAGGTGAAGGACCTAGACGGTTGTAGACGTGCAAGTTGGAGATTTCTGAATTGTCGCTGGTATCTTGATCCTGTTGCTTGGATTTCAGGCCCTTCATTGTGGAAGGGAGCCCACCCAGGACGGGGTCGGTAGTCATCCATTCATGGAAAGCGAGGCGCACGTCCTGGTGGAAACGACCGACTCGTTCGCAATATTCCACCATGGCTGCCCTACGACCCAGAAGCATATGCTCGAAAACCTCCTGCACGAACGTACCCAGATGAATCTCGGGAGCAGCAAAGGTCCAAGGCGAGAGACAACTAAGCCCTGCAAGATTACCAAATAACGCCGACTTGATTACATACTGATGCTTAATGAAGCAGAAGACATATTGACAGTACAGGGTAGTCATTGCTGGTATAAGTTAGCAGTGGTGGCATCATCTCTGTTCTAGGCGACCTATAGCGATTGCAAATCTGATGGTGGCTCGCAGTGCGTCCATGTTGGGTGTCCACTTTTGTCCGCCTGATATAGCTTGCCCTCAGTGAAAGGCGAGGCTGCCGTGCTTCTCTTCTATGCATTGCAGCATCATATTCTTGTGTTGTGTCGTCCACTTCACGCACCGGAAGAGAAGTGCTCTACTGTTTCTTTCGCCTGTCTCTCATTGGTGGATGTAAGACTTACGCGAGCGTTGTCGCACTGATGCATTGGTCCTACAAACAAAACTTGCTCGGTGTTCTCTGGGTCTATGAGATGGAAGAAGAAGAATTTGATCGTGCTATTCAGGAAGGGATGGAAGCGGCTGTCCTGGGAACATACGATGATGGATATCTCCCTGAGCTTTTGACAAAGGGACTCAAGAAGCTTACAGATAAAGTCGATTTTATTGCTCCAGCAGTCATACATTCGATGTCAGACGCAGAATTGACGGAGTGGTGCCCGCCAGTGACTGGACTGACCGCATGCTTATGATGATGATGCCATTCGTGCTATCATCAAACATGACCTGGGAGAAAAGAATGAAATTCATTGCAGAGCCCTATGTCAAGAATGAGCGAGCTTCTTGTGCGATGGTACCTACGCGGGTGAGTGCCTGGAGCCTGTTGAGAGGAAAATTTGCCCTTCTCGATACTTGCTGTTCTAGAATGATAAAAACAATTAGGCTAACAATATAGAGTATATCAAAACAAAACGGATTACAATAGATCTAAAACCCATCTTCAGTAGTGTATAAAAAGCAACAGTGGCTACACAGCAAGGCCCACGTCGGTAGCACTAAGCAGTGGTCGTTCGTCTCTGTAATGAGCTTTTAACCTGAGGCTTCTATACCAGTCTAAATTTCCAGATAGTACATAGATAACTCCATCTGCAACAGTTAATTATGGCTAGTTCTTGCGATGTATTCCTCTTACCTCCTTTTCCTTGCGAAACGAAAAGCTCCTCATGTCGCGCCACCCTTAGTAGCTGAGTAAGCATCTTTCGTTCAAGTTTATCGGCTCGTACATCCCAAAACTCCTCTATTCTATTCCACAGAAGCTCGCAAAGGATGGACCAAAACTCTAGCTCTTATCAGTCTCTGCACAGAGGGACAGGCATAAGACTTACCAGGTCGCTCCATGGAACCATTAGACGTTCGCCAAAACCTTAAACTATCTGGACGGTCGATCTGAGCAAGAAACCTGAGCTGCATCTCGTAGAAGGCATCCATTTCTGCTTGGTCTCCCAAGTTCAGCTTGCGCCGTCTGCCAAGACAGACGTCCAAACTTTCCAATTCGTGGGTCTTGTCGCATTTGTAGCAATGGTATAGCGTCGGTGTTACCTGATGAGCCGCACAGCTGTGGTTTTCTAGTCCCGGACTTTTTTTATAGACTTTCTGGCAGTACTGGCAGCCATACATTGGTTCCTTTATGGCACTCTCCAATATCTCCGTGGGTCTCCAAGGAATTTCTCTGCTGATATCCTTCGCGCTATAGCCTAGTAGATGCAGGTCATACATGAATCGAACTTCATGTCCACACCACTTATGGTTTCTTGGAGTAGAGTTGTGGTGGAAGTATTGGTGGCGTCTGAGGTTTAGATCCCCTTGGAACCATTTTCCACATTGTTCGCTTCCCATTGCGCATTTGCGTTGGCATTCGTGTTGTTGTTGAGCTGCATCAAGACGACGGTTACAAGCCATACAGAACGTCAACTTGAAGAACCATTGATGCCTGAGATAGTCAGCAAAGTACATATAAGATAAATAATGTGATCACCTATAGAGTGTTGGAGTACTATATTCCAATTCCGTTTTCATATAGCATGCGTTGAAGCTGTGTTTGCCGTATGCAGCAAACCTTTCAATACCTTGATGACAGTTACCAAGGGGTGCGCTGCCAAGGATTCTGTGTTGAACGGGCTCATAGTGGCTTTTTTTGAACCAGAGCTGGACATCTTTTGCCCATTCTCTCTGATATTCAATGGTCTCCATTGTCACAGGTGAAGACTCAGGCACGGATTGGATATCAATCGTTGTATAGTATAGGGCAACGTGTTTTGATGATTTTCTTTGGTGGGTTAATAAGTGACAAGAGCACGAAGGTTGGTACTCACGCGCAAATCTCATCGACCTGTTCTTGGCACGTTGGAAATTCTTCACGGACGACCGAAGTCGCGTAATGGGGCCAGTCTATTATCACTGGTGATGCTGATTTGACTTTAGCATATGTTTGGTTGTTGCTGATCATTGTGGCTGTCCAGTAGCTTGGGTCTGCCAGAGCGAACAGCACGGCGAGGCCGGGGATATACACTATTTGAGATTATTGGCTAGCTGATGGCCCCTGTAATATAAAGCCTCCATGGCTGCTAACAGGGCTGGAATATGGCGACACATGGACTTAGCTGAGTCTAGGGTCCCTAGGTAAAGGGTGTAGAGGGCGTGTCGGGGTGAGTACTACTCCGTACAGGATTCGGACCCTAAAAGTTTAGCTTCTCCACAAGAGCCCAAGTTTCCTGGGGGTTGACAGCCCCTTGCAGCCGGAAGCACTTTCCGCCCGCTAACCCCAGCCTCCAGATAAACCCTGTCATCTGGAGATGGAGTACCAACTCTAGAGATTACATCCTTTCCTTAGAGGGTTCTAGAGGGTACATCCTCTCATTAGCCCTCCATGCACGGATACTGATGCTTTACCTCTACGTGTTAATGCTGGTCCCTGTTTCATGCTCAAGCCGCTGAAGACGGGTGATGGGATGGGGGCTGCCATTCGCTTTTCGCATGCTCCGGCGAGCCTCAATTGTCAATTCAGGGGCGCCCGAGCCCAATGGTTTCCTCCTCCTGGTGGGGTGTGTTCATATGAATTTTGATGGCAGCTTTGTACTCTATGGATTGGCACTTCACCGAGTTTCTCTCTGATAGGGCATCCGCTTGCCGGGCTCGGGTATGATCCCGCGCCCCGGCGCCCAGCTGTTCTTATCGAAAGGCAACCATAAGGCAACCAGAGGCAAACAAGTCTGCGGCTCAAAACGCCGACTCTTTAGCATATGCATGAAGGCGAACCGGCGATGAACGCCTATTCCCCCGTTTTTCGGCGTCTTTTTGTACCCAATATAAGCCTTGCCACAGTCCTTGTGTACTCCTTCTTGTTTGCTCCGATTCTTCTCTAGATTTTGCTGTTTTCATGCTTTCTTACTACGTGTTTAGTCCCTCTGACCATTCACCAGTCGAGTGTTTCTCCTCGATTTTGATCTCAGCTACAGCAGCTCTGCCGCTCTTCTAGCAGGCTCCTTTTCATCTCCACCATGGGTGGTGGTCCACGTAACCCAAGAGATGCTCCTGCTGAGTACGTCGAGATTGATCCCGTCAACACGAGTGGCATTGTGCTGACAAGTAGTAACACAATAGCTGCCTTGCGACCGTTTCCGTGATTCACCACACTTCCGAGGTGCCGGTCGTGACAGAGGACGATGCAGCCACTGTCACCGGCCGCGAACAAGATTCCAGCAATGCCGTCGCTGAGGAGGTCCAGACCGTCAAAGCCAACAATCAAGACCCACCAGTTGACTCGCAGGAGCAACGAATAGCCAAACTAAAGGGCATCTATGCCGGCTTAGTGATGGTCGAAAGCGAATGCATAGAAGCGGACGGAAAACACTTGCTCGCTACTGGAATCGAGTTGGTTGAACAGATCTTGCGAGACTTAAAGAGTGCCAAAGAGAAAGCAAAGAAAGAGGCTGCTGAAGCGAAAGTAGAGCAAGAGACCGTCCAAGCGGAAGAAGACAATAAGCACTCGAACCCCGACCCCGAGGCGATGCCGACCAGTGTGGGTGAAAGGCTAGATGAGACAGCTTCTAAGGAGGCGGAGGCTGAGGAGGCAGAGCTCGAGGAGGTGGATCACGAGAAAACATCTCCCAAGGTGACGGATGCGAATGCGGATGCCGCTCTCGATGAGGTTACCGTCACCACGCATCCTGTAGACCAGAACGCCAATCTATCCGTCCAAGAGCCGCAGGCCTCTCCTGAAGAGGCTGGTACTGCACCCGCGGATTCGGGCAAGGATACGGCAGACACTGGAGTCGACACTACTGCCCTCACCAAGGAGACGAAGTCTGAGTCCGAGAAGAAGCCCAAGACCGAACTGCCATGCTATGTCGAGTTCAGGCAGCTGGGTGACCAGAATCTGTACAAAAAGGTTGGCAGCGAATACTGGGTACTGATCGACTCCCAATGGGTCCCCAGTCTCAATGCGGAGCAGTTTGCGGCTCTCATTGAGCTTCACCGCACATTATTACACAAACACTACGACTTTCTCTCGGAATCGCAGCACCCCAGCGCGTCGGCAGCGCTCAAAAGGCTCGCTGCGAAGCATGGCATGCTGGGAAGAATGTGGTGGCACGGGATACATTCCTTTCTCGAGGTCATGCGTAAACGACTTGTCGAGTCCGGGGAACATATGGCCTGTTTCATCATCCTGGCATACAAAATGATGTCTTTGCTGGAAGAGACTGTCCCGCGCTTCCGTCACACCTGGATCCAATGCAAAGCGGATTTGCTCGTTGCTCAACGAGGACAAGAGGCTGGACAAGTACGGGCTCAGTACCGAAGACAGCCTCAGGAAGTACTTACGCGAGCAAGAGGAGCAACGAAAGGCAGAGCTTGTCAAGAGTGAGGCCGAAGCTAAAGACGCCACGGCCACTCCGGAAGGGAGTCAGACGACAGCGGAAGAGGACAAGGTCCCCCGGGAAGAGTCCACGGCCGCGACAGAAGAGACTACGACCAGTGACGCCGCGCACGAGAAAGACCTGGACACCAAGACACCAGATTGGGAGCTGGTGTACGCCAACACACTACCGGAACACAGTCTGCTTGCGGGATTCTTCTTTGCCAGAGAGGCTGAGCCTGAACCCCGCGACAAATCCCTGGAGAAACCTGCCGAGGACGCCGTAGTCGTTGCCTGCCCAGCCGTCCCTGATGCCACCCCAGCGGCTGTGCAGACCGTCGATGAATCAGTCGAGGCATCACTGGTAGAAGTGAGGAGGGAAGAGAACGAAAACGAGGATGTTCAACAGCAAGACTCCCAGGCGAAGGAGGTAGAAGCCGAGAAGGCGCAAGAGGAAGACGAGCAGAAGGACAGAGAAGCCGAAGAGGTAGAAGTGCGGAGGCGGGAAGGGCTGCATCGTGATCCCCCTCTCTTCCTCAACGGCTGGTTCAAGCGCTCGAAACACGACTACAACGATATACAGGTTCGCAACTATGTCCAGGACGCCGCGACATGTGACGCTCGGTCAAACCAGCTTTTGCACCTGGCTGCTCAGCTGATCGACCGCTTCTTTGTCTTCGAGACCGACGAGGAGAGACGCTATTGGATCAGCGTGCCTGGGGCCTCATCCGTACCGAAGCCTGACCCCAACAAGAAGAGGCCGGAAATCATCGAGCGCGACGGCGGCGTCAGAGTTGTTTATGTCCATCCTCTCTTCCACGCTGCCGAGATCGAGAGGGAAAAGAGGAGAGCAGCAAGGGAAGAGAAGTGGCAGAAAGAGAAGGAGAGACAGAAGGAGAAGAGGCAGAAAGAGGAGGAGAGACAAAAAGAGAAGAAACGGAAAGAGGATGAAGCCAAGGCCACTGCGGATGTGGCTACAGCTCTCAACGAGAAGGCCGAGGGCGACGCGAAAGAGGTCAGTGTAGCCAACAACGGTCCCGAAGCGAGCCAACTCACTGACACGACTGAACAGCAACCTACGCAATCCGAGAAGCCAGTCAGCCAGGTCGACGCCGAAAAGGCAACAGAAGCCGTGAACCTCCCGGCCGTGGCACCCAGCACGGTATCAGAGGACGGTGATCATGAGCCGAGCTCGGCTTATGAAATGGATCTGGACAAGGCCATCGGTCTCGAAAAGGCCACCGCGGCGGCCCAGAAGCCGCCGGTTACCCACGAGGCCGACCCTACCGAGGCCGAGCCCACCAAAGCCAAGGTGGAGATGACGCTTCCAGTGCGAGGGGTGGACGACGCGCATACGAAGGGCAGCGGCGCAGGTTCGGACGCGGCCGCAGCCACAACCACAGCCCCCGCCGCAGACGCAGCCACGGACCCGCAGGTCACGGTTCCGCTGAGCGAGGGCGTGCTCGACAGTATGCCGAAGACGGAGGATTCTACCAAGGCTATCAAGCGCTGGAGAGCGGCAAGCAAGGGTCCTGGCGCGGACGAGGGCGCGGACGAGGACGAGGACAAGGACGAGAAAGAATGGGAGCGCCTCAGCAACGAAAGTCACGGAGACGTCAAGGTGGAAACGACGTCTATGTTTTCGCGCTTTTTCTTCGGGAGATAGGGGCGAACAGTCTAGATTGATGGGAGGAGAGATGCGATTAGGAAGACGAGTACGGGGTTTGTATTCTAGCTGTGTCGCTTCAGACTGTCTAAGTAGTTAACGGAGACACTCAGGGAAGTCGGGAGGGGGGAGGAACTATACACTTCATCCAGAACTTTCTACAAAGCCTACAAGGCCGATAGTATGGCACCGTTTCATTTATTTCTTACTCTTCCTCTATTCATTGTCATTTTCCCTCATTCTTGTGCTTTTCCTTTCCCTTACGTTCCTTTTTTTTCTCCTTTCTTTTTTCAACATATCTTGACTCTCGAGCGACTGGTGAGTCTCTTACTTTTTACAGCGGCCCTACCGCGGGAGGGCCTGTGGATAGCTGCTTTTCTTCCTTTATTCCCGGGCTAGTTGAGTACTGGCATACAAACGATTAGAGCTCCATTCCGGACGGATAGGCCGTAGAATCGCGCAGAAAGCTTGGAAAAGCCTGCGACTGCACCCAGCCGAGAGAAGTCAAGACCTCTAGATGGAACAGCTTCAGCTAGCGCCTCGACGTCTAGTACTTCTAACTGAATGGCCGGTAAGTAGGCGTGGACGAAGACTACTATACTTCTTGAGCCGTAGGTGCAAGAGACGGCAATGGCACCTCCCCTCCCTGCCCTTGGCCATGGCATGCCACCCTTTGGTGCAGCTGAGCGCCGGACATCGAGATGATGCTGGTAGACCGACGCCATGGCTGCGTTTACTCCCACGCCGTGTTGTATGTTGTTGATCCTGTCCCTCACCACGGTGTGTGAATCGGTTACGCATTAGCACAAGGGAAGAAGAGGACCTTGCAGAAATTGTACGTACTGTTGGCCTCAGAAATTTGACAGAGGGTGGCTGGGTTAGAAGCCTGCGAAATTGCCCGAATACCAACTAATCGTAGCTTGGAGCTACCCCTCTGAGCAACTTCCCCTTAAGCTCAAGGAATTCTTTGCCGACCAGCGGGTAGTGACGCCACATGACCTCAAGGATCTTGCAACCAAAGGCTGCCAGCTTGACGCGGCTGGCATCGTCCGTACGCTCCCAGGCCGATCCGATTTCCGTGGCCATATCACGGAGGTCAGCGTGGTCGTCTCTGTTGATAAATAGGTCGATCAAAGGGATCATATCGAGGTCCTCGGTTAGATAAGCCTCATCGGACTGCAGGCTTCTTCTGAGCAGCAGGCATCGTGATGGGGCAGCTGCGGTATTGTTAGCGATTGCGATTAGAAGGGAAGTCGGGTTGAATGACTTACTATCGAAGCGTGTTGGACGATTGAAGCGTGGTTGCAGGGGTCAATACAGGACCTTTGATTTGGGTTGCGGGAGGAAGATTTCGGCCAGCTAAAGAGCAAGTAAGGCTCTCCAGATAAATTAAGTGCATTTAGGTTCAGGCTGCAATTGAGGCAGCTAACTTAATCATATTGACTTAATGAAGTTTTGCTGTCTGGGAGGCAATGAACGTTTAGATTATGGTAGACTTTAGAGATGCTTGTATACTTAAGTAATAGTATTTTTATAGCTTAAATATTATAATAATGAAATTAAGTTTAATTATTATATTTTTTATTAAATTTATAGTAAGTTTTCAATAACTTTATAATAAATTTTATAATTATCTTTTTTTAATTAAGTAAAAGGCCTTATGTTTAAAGGTAAGTTAAGTAATTATATTAATTAAAGTATAATTAAAAATAGTTATTTTAATTAAATTAAATTAGTTTTTTAATAAAACATTCTTTTTATTAATAATATAACTTATAGCTTTTATTAATATTGATTCTATTTTATTAATAAAGTTATAATTAATTATATAATAGGCCTAATTAGCCTATAGGCTATTACATATAGATATTATATTAATAGCTATAATTAATATTAATAGCTATAATTAATATTAATAACTATAATTAATAAATTAAAGAATATATTTTAAAATTATAATAAATTTAATATAATATAGTTAAAAAGGTTAATTAAAAATCTTTTAAGTAAGATAAAGAAAAAAGGCTAATATAGTTTTAAGCTTTCTTTAAATATACAAGGCTTCTTTTTAATTAATTAGATTTTAAGRAAGTTTTTTATATACTTATTTTTATAATTTAATATATCTTATAATCTTTATATAAGTTATATTAATTCCTTTTTAATTTTAAATAAACTAATACCTTTTTAAAAAGTTATAAAATTCTAAAAACTTAGAAATAACTTTATATAATATTAATATGTTTATATAATAGTATTAAGTTTTTAAAAAAGGTAATTTTTAATAAGTACAAGGTATTTATAAAAGTCTTAAAAGGACTATTTTAATTATTATTAAATACTTTTAAGTTATTACTTAAAAGTAAGCTTTTTTTTTAACTATTTAATTTAAACCTTAAAGGCAGTAATATAAATTAATAATATAACTTACCTAATAAAATAGATTATTATTTAAAATAGTTCTTTTTAATTAATTAAAATAGAATTATTAATAATTTCTAAAGTTATTATTAATAATTTATTTAAAGTTAAGCTAATTACTATAGTTTTTTAAGGGTTAATTATTATATTTAAATAACTTAAGTAAAAGCTTTAAAATTATTATAGTTTATAAAGATAAGTTAAATAGATATAATAATATTAAAGCTTAAGGAAAGAAGATTCCTTAAAGAGAGGTTTTTTAAAGAAATACTATAGGGTCCTAAAGTTATATAATTCAGAAACCAAGGCTAAGTTATTATTATAGTTTATAAATAATATTAATACTATTTAATTAAAGTAATAATTATATTATTAAAGTAAATAAACTTTATATAATTTTAATTTTAAAAATATAAGTTTATTAAAAAGGCTTTATTATTTAAGCCTTTATATAATAAGCTTATAATTTAATAGCTTTATTAAGTTAATAATAATAATAAAATAATTATAATTATTTATAGTACTTTACTTATAAATTAATAAATAAATAAGAAAAAATATTAAATATTAAAAATACTTAAAAAATATAATTAAAAGTTTTATAAAATATATAACTAATATATAATTTAATTCTTTTTTTTTATTATTATTAATTTAATAGAACTATTAAATTATTAATTTTTTATATAAATATTTAAATAATAAAGCCTTTATAATAAGCCTATATATTTAAAGTTAAAATTATATAAAGTTTATTTATTTTAATAATAAAATTATTACTTTAATTAAATAATATTAATATTACTTATAAATTTACCTTTTTAAATATTGTTTATTTATATTTTCTCTTAATTTATATTTTTATACTATATTACCTTATAAATTAATTTAATTTATTATTAACYTATTAAGTTAGCTTTAATTTACTAATATTTATAGTTTTTTCTTTAATATTAAAACCTTTATTTCTTAATTTACCTTTTTATCTCTTTTTTTTTAATATTTTATTTTTTTATTTTATAATAGCCTTTAATCTTTATAATATAATATTTATATCTTTTATTTAATTACTATAACCATATATTTTAATTTAAAAAATTATAACTAATATAAATTATTATTATTACTTTATATAATATTAATAATAAAGGCCTATTATTACTTTAATAAATATTAACCCTTTGTTAGGCAGCTTATTAGGTCTTTTAGGGCTTCTATTTAATATATAATATAATTAATCTTAATTATATTAACCTCTTTTTAAAGTAATTATATTTAATAGCTAAAGATTATTAAACTAACTTATTATACTATTAATAGTTTATTAATATATAATAAATATTCTTTTATAATTTTATAATACCTTAAAAAGGATTATAAT